GCCCCTAGAGGACAGAGTGGAACTGCCCCACAGGGTTTCCAAGGCTGTCAGTCTTCACAGAAGCAAAGCCCAAACCACACCCACTACCATGGAGTGGATTCTGACCCATAATGCCCCTAGGACAGAGTGGAACTGTGCCGGAGGGTTTCCAAGGTTGTTAATCTTTACATAAACTGACTACCTCACCAGCTGACCTATTGGTTAGTAGCCCAATGCTTTAAACACTGTGCCACCAGAGCTCCTTTCTGTGATAGCACCACTAGACAACTAAGACAGCTGCCTAGGAGCAACCAGGATTACACAGACACTTCTACCAAGTACTGTGACACATTCTTACATATATTGTTTTGTCAAAGGATAGTATACTCTTTATTGTGGGCTCCTTTCACATTCAGCAAATTTAATGATTACTAAAGTCAGGTCTGACTCAACGGCACATAACAACAACAAATTATCTGCTAACCTTCAAATATTAGAGTGCCAGCTACCATTCACAAAAAGAACCTTAGTGATGCAATGGTTAAGCACTTACTGCTCACCAAAATACTGGTGGTTCGAACCAACCCAGTGGCTCTGCAAAGAGAAAGCCCTGGCAATCTGCTTTCTTAAAGATGACAGCCTAGGAAACCCTCTGGGACAGTTCCAGTATGTCCTCTAGGGGCGCTGTGAGTCAGAATCCATTAGACAGCCTGAGTTTGGTTTGGGCTTGGCTTCTTTAAAGACTGACAGCCACGGAAACCCTCTGGGGCAGTTCCATTCTGTCTCATGGGGTCACTGTGAGTTGGAATCGACTCTATGAGTTGGAATCGACTCTACATCACACAACAAGAACCACAAACCAGACACTTACGTATGATATACATTCCAACCCCACAGACCCAGCTCTGTACTGTGGAAGCAGAGGTTTAATGTTCAAAGCCCTGGCATTCAACTAGTTACCCTCCTCCTCCCGTGACGTAGCTGTAGCCGCCAGTGCCCAGTCCGTAGCCATAGCGTTCTCCCAGGAACACGGGTTCACTGGAGTCATAGCAGCTGAGCAAGTGCTGGAGTCTGGTGATGCTGAAATGTCAGAGAGAGCAGAGCAAACATGATTAATTCATACATGGTTTCAGGACAAACGTTCCATGGTCCTTATATCCCAATAGAGAGCCCTGGGGTGCAGCAGTTAAGCACTCAGATGCTAACCAAAAGGTCAGTGGTTTGAACCACCAGCTACTTTGTGGAGGAAAGATATGGCAGTCTGCTTTTGTAAAGGCTGACAGCCTGGGAAACCCTGTGGGGCAGTTCCACTCTGTCCTCTAGGGGTGCTGTGGGTCAGAATGGACTCCACAGCAGTGGGTGTGGTTTGGGCTTTGCTTCTGTGAAGATTGACAGCCTTGGAAACCCCGTGGGGCAGTTCCACTCTGTCCTCTAGGGGCGCTGTGGG